TTACTGCTTGCTCTATCAGAGATAAATCCCTTTACAATCACCTGCAGCTGGACTAACCATTTAATTTCTTACCTGTCCAATGATACCCAAGAATGTTCAAGGTACTTATAACTGATGCTTACTGCCTAAACACTAACTTATATTTTGCAGTGAACAGAACTTATAACCAAAAACCTTTTCGGGATAAGTACTGCCAGACTGGTTTATTACTGGATTGGGATGAGACTAGGGCAGGAATCTGTGTGAAAGATGTCAGATATTAGGGAAGGATTATCAAACCTACTCGTTGAAAGCGAACATCTTATACACCTTACAACTTCTGGCGATTATCGTAGCACTAATCAGACGATCGTTGCGCTATGACATCTTTTTTGGAGATCACAATTCCAATGTCCTATTGGATCAGTGTACAAATGACTTCTTATGAGAAACAGGTTATGGCCCCAGGTACCATTTTTAATTCAGTTCAACTGCCTTCATTTGGGGTTAAACTGATATTTTGTGATCTGACCTGTGGAGTGTTAACCATTACACTATGGATCTATAGGTCTTTTATAAACTTTTTATATTAATATATTAACAATAACATTAATATTTTACTAATTACAAAAATTTTTGATATTATTTTTAATAATAGAATTATATCTTACAAGCAAAAATACTATTAATAAAAAAAAACAATCAAAATTTAATTAATATAAATAAATAAATTTATTTTGAGCTAAAATTAAATATTAGAAAGTTATATCTTATAATTTAGTAATTTATATTAATGCTTTGTTATCAATATTGAAGTTTATATCTAATTATCAAAAAAAAAATTAACATAAATAGATATAATGAATCTATATATTACAAAAATAATAATTAATAAAATAATATTTAACCTTTGATTTGAATAAAGTCAAACTTAAAATAATATACAGTATAGTTTTTTTCTTTACTATAATATTTTAAAAATATTAATAAATAATATTTTTTTATTTTTTTATTAAGTTTATCATATTAAATATAATTTAAATTAATTTGTTATATATTTAAATTACAATAATATTTGTTAATTATTTTGTTTTAATATTATTGTAATAATAGGTTTTTTAAATTCAATTTAATAATTATATGATAATAATATTGTAATATATAAATAAAATAATTTGAATTTGTATATAATTTTTTATTATATTGTTACTTATATAATAAAACAATCAAATTAATAATATTATTATTATTAAAATATTTAAAAAATAATTATGAAATTAAATATTATTAAATATTATTAAATTTTGTTCTAAATAATTTTTTTTTAAAATGGTTTTAATAATTAATACTTGTAATTTTTATACTATGATTTTTTTTTAAATTGTTGATTTTAATATTATTATATTTTTTTAAATTAATTATAATTATCAATTCTTATGTCATATAAGTTATTAGATTATTAATCTTTTAAATTACTAATTTCAATATTGCAATTTATAAGTTTCAGTATTATTATAATTATTTGAATTTTTAATTTTAATATCATAATTGTATTTAATAATTTTTATTTCAATATTGTAGATAGTATTTAAGCTATCAATGTTTTTTTAAGCATGTAATACCTTGTACATAATGAAATAAAAATATTATATAATTATAAATCAATTAAAATACAAGAAAATATCTTTAATAAAAATAATACAATTTTTTTTATAGATGATATATTTTCAAGTGAATCAATTTTGCCGATTTTTTAAAAAAGTAAACATAGAAAAAACAATTAAAGGATTAATTTATGTGTGCTTATATATTATTTAAGTTTATTTTATATATTATATTGCTAATTATTCTTATTTTCTCGTTTTCTTTTAATTATAAGTTTCATTTTCTTTATTTTATTTTATTTTATTATATTTTTTAATAACTTTTATCTTTTTATTGGGCGCTAAATATTAAACTCCTGTATCTTTTATTAAATGCTAAATTATAACTTACAATTTCTGAAATATATACCGGAAATAAAATCCAATTTTGTCAGTTTTAAGCAATTTGATTAGTTCCCATATTGTACGTCAGTCGTGAACAGTGTTTTTTATTAAAGGTAGCATTAGGAACATTAATGTAATATGAAAAAGATAAATATACTTATATACTATTCCCATGTATCTTCAATTTTTTGCACCATTAATATTGAAGGGATAATTGAAAATGCACAAGTGGCATCCAAATTCAAGAAGTAGCTTGGTCAAAGCAAGTATGATCCCACACGGAATATCAATAATACACAATATTTTATATTTACATATAAATGCTATAATTTGATTTGAAAGTGTTTATGACCATTATGAGAGATTATGTATGGAATTCTACGAATTTGGTTCTACATGTGTCCAGAAATTACCATGACGATTATAATCTAAACAAACGAAGAGTTGTTAAATAGTATCTAGATAACACATACATCGCCAAAAAATGAATATTACAGTACCAGTGACATAGCAACCCGAGTTTTTATTTTTTAATATATTATTGAACATTGGATACAACAACTTGATAGTAGCTAGCGAGTAAGAAAAATATTGTTAAAAATATAGCTGAATATTTTAAAGAGCGATTGAAAAGTCACTATACAAAAAAAATGAGATAATGCTTAAAAATGAATGAATTGAATTGAATTAATAAGAAAATGTAACTAAAATTTGTTGAAATAACTATCAGTTTGCGAGACAGCTTTGAAATAAGGACCAATGGTTGACGAGAAATAAAATATTGTCAGAACGTTAATTGGAATCCGATGCGATCAATTCACTTATTTACCATGTTTCCCAAAATAAAAGTGGGTTTCAACAAAAAATAAAGTTAAAAATTAAGCTGAGACATTTCGCAAAGATATAGACTTATTGCAAGGCATGCATTGCATATGTAGCTCTAAAGCAGTAAGCATATTGCAGCTCACCATCAATTTCACATCAATATTTCTCGGATTTCAAATTAACTTAGTTTTGTTGGCATAAACTTATTAAACTACAAACTACTGTAAATGTATTACGTTATTACGTTAGTAGTATTTTAAGAATAATATTAGCGCGATTATCGCAAACCTTTATTTTTTTATGGCACGTGTAGCATGTCACCTCACAAAGCAGGAACGAAGAGAAGTAGTTAAAAAAAAAACAATTTATTATAAATATTATATAAGGCACAGACATAAGAACATGCTTTATCTGCTAGTAATAATATAAATTATTATAGTATGGAAATTTCACTATAAATTTGCCTGCTAATTATTCTCTTTATCTCGATTCTCCTCTTTATCCTCTTTATCCTCTTTATCTCAATTATTCTCTTATCCCTCCTATTTTATCGCGATAACCGGTATAGCATTGCGTGATGAATCACATCTTATTTCCCTATAACACTATATAAGTGAAGTAATTTTATTAATGATGTCATCACCAACTAACCTGGACCGTTTACATCACATTAAACCAAGAACTTGGTAATATTTGGCTTAATTTAAGCAAGACTTTAAATTCCTGAGACATGTTATATTCTTCCATCGCTAATATTCTTTCCTTATATTTTTCCCAGAACCCTAATGTATTGCTGGTATCTTTCCTTCCCGTCCAAATCCTTTATTTCTTTTTCTTAAAGATTACAATGATCTCTCTACGAAGTCATAGATAAGTATTATAGTAGATTATATGCTTCGCCGTACCTCATCTCCATATCACCAATATCCTTTACAACACGTAACACACTTGATTCTATATATAATGCATCTTTTATAAAAAAAAAGACAAATCTACACGTACGAGTGTATTTCTCTTTGAACCTTAATCACTTGGTCAGTAAAATACATAAAGTATTATTACGGTGTCGATACTAATCATGGCTACAATTAATTAAAAAAATCAAACAGAATTAGCTAATGATCATGTAACTCAGAATAGATGCAAATCACAGATATACCTTTTAATAATTTTTCAAGATCATCAATTTTGTCAGATATTATCTTGGTAAACGCATCCTACTACTTCAAAAAAAACCGATTTCGACTGGTGTACCTTGTATGTTCATGTGTAAAATACCATCATGTTTTTCACTAAGTCTTTCATGCTTCAAAAAATAGCGTCGTCTTTTTCGTGTCGTATTTTCAATCTCCCATAATTTATTATTAATAACAAATTAGAGTCGTAATTTTGAAAATAATTTTTAGGAAGCGTAACTTACGTTTTCAATCTCAATTCATTCTCTATATCATAAAATATCAATGTTAAAAGAAGATTTACTATTCGTCTCGATATTGATATCCACTCATGCTACTGTCCAACAAGGCACTATGTCTTCGCAACAACTGGAGTGTTCTAAGAAAGAATTAGTTATTTCATTTTGCAGTCATGATAACAAAAGAATTCATAATAATACATGCATTCGCTTATAAAGGTCTTGGCACCAAAACACTTTGATGTTCATATTTATCAAATTGTTGTCTTGTAAAAGCCGTCATTAGTGAATTGAAATTGTAAAAAAATGATCTTCATTTACATTCTTTTTGATAACTTCGTTATAATCTCAACTATTTTTCCAGCATTCTTTGATTTCTTTTTTATTAACAGACTCTTGAGCCTCGTTGTTATTAATAAAATAAATTTGTTAATCTAGAGTTCATATCCATAGCAATAAAAAAAAACAAACTAACCATTATCCATTTGCTTTTTGTCATGTTCATTTGATCTGGTGATTATTTTTTAAAGTTGTTTCGTCTAATGAAATTCAACATCAAAAAAAACAAAAATCTTATTAAATTTACCTTAGTTTCGATATAAGATATAAAACATGTTGATATATAGAAATCAAATTACCTTAATTTTCGGAACTTGAATAGTACTGTATAAATTCTCTTTTCCATTTGTGAATAAAGTCATCTTAGAATAAATTTGTGATTTGAAATTTAGCTTGTAATACGCAGATTTGGAAAGTATAAAATCGCTGGTATATTCAAAGTACCTCTTCCATCTCTAGTTCATTAAGGCTTTCTTCCTCAAGACTGATGCTCTTTTTAACCTTTTCATAACACTGGTTTTATTTCTCCAGAAGGTTATTGCTTCAGGTAATTTTTTTTCTCGCTAAATATGCATAATGAAAAAAATTTTGTTGCTCAAAACTTTTAGACGCAACTAAAAGTTAAAGTGCACCCGCAAACCCAAAAAGGGACTCGACCCTGGGATTTTCGACTCAACGAGCGGGGATTCAGACTCGACCTAGCACTTTGAGCAGTTAACAATGGGCCACAGCAAGGCACTCTCTTAGACTCGACTAAGAAATATTCGGACGCAACCTAGCCTATACCATAGACCCGAAACAAACGAATATGGCAAGGGAGAAGAAAAAAAAATTTTTTTTAACCTTGAGTGATTTCAAACAGTATGACGCTAACTCTTTCGCGGATTCATTGTTACGAGTTCCCTATAACTCCGGACTTTGGATAATCTCATCCAAACAAAAATTGTATATTCTATGCTCCTTTTTTCCGAAATAGTTTATACACTATACTCCAATGTAAAAAATCCATCAGGCTCCACGTTTCGTTATCTTGAAGTACGGAACCCTTGACGTCCAACATTCATTTTCTTGAGTGTTTATGATAATACGACACGATTACAGTAATGGGATAAAAATTGTTACATCAAATTCATAATTTCGCGTCATATTTATATCTTGTGATATTCACGTGAATAATTAAAATTAGATCCGGTCCATTCCGGGATCTTAGGATCGCTTAACATAATGTAAGGTATAAAAACTTTCAGCAAGTTAATATTGACAATTAATTTGATAAAGCCCTTGGTAATTACGTAAATCGTAGCTGGGTAGTGTAAAATATTCGCGTGATGTTAATTTTCCAATATTTTTTCGCAAACATATAACGTTTTTTATTGCTAAGATAATGAATCTTTATATTTTGTGGATATATAATAGAATCAAGGATTTTACTTTTAATTCAGTATTTTCTATATTGATTGATTCCTATTTAAGCAATAATTGAATTATTATCAATATCTTTAACAAATAGTCTGTTTTTTTTAATAAACAATAATGTAAAAATAAAATGTTAATAAAATAAACATATGATATATAATAAAATTTAAATAACAAATTTATTAGCTTCAAACCTACAATGGTTTCTATTTCCTAGTATTATCAATGAGTTTTATATAATTTGAAAAAAAAATTATATTATATTATTTATTTGTTTATTTTGTGAGATTTTTATTATATTTATTATTTATATACTGTTATTAAATGTCAAATTAATATACAGTGGTACCCCAAATTATTTGGAATTTTTTGATGATCATTTGCACAACAGCCAATAATTTAATAACTACGTAATACGATTTATTTAATTTGTAAGAACTATAAAATTAAATGACAGGTATTGTTAATAGTTTATTCTTTCACCATTTGCATCAATTATCACCTTACATCTCTCTTGCATCGAATTGATCAAATTTTTATAGGTATTCTTTGGAACCTTCCCCCATTCTTCGATCATAAACATTTGTAACTCATCTAAATTTTTTGGTTTTTTTTTCTCCACATTTTTTTTTATGATTCCCCATAAATTTTCAATGAGATTAAGGTCCGGGCTGTTCGACGGCCAGTTGATAATACAAGGAACCGTTTTATTGAGAAAATTCTTGACTAGGCAGCTTGTGTGCTTAGGATTATTATCTTGCTGAAGCTGCCAATTGTCGCCTATTATTTTTTTAATCTCCAAAAGTTGATTTTTTAGGATTTTGACGTAGAACAAGGCATCCATCTTTCCTACAAAACAATAAATGCTAGTTTTACCCTGCAGGCTAAATGCACTCCAAACATGAATTTTTTGTCGGTTCTTAGGGATGCAACGGACGGGACGACTGTTTTTGTACCACTGAGTGATCGTGTTCCTAAACAGTTGGAACAAAGTTTCATTGGAAAAAAAGGTGCAGGACCAATTATCATCAATATGTTCTTGGGCCCATTTAACCTGTTTCTCTTTATGCTCCTCTGTAAGTATAGGTGTTGCGAGGGGGAGGGAATTCTTATAACCGTTGGCACAAAGATGCCTTCGAACCATTTCTCTTTCAAGTATTATACCCTTTTCTGAAAGTTTGCTTACCAACTCACCCACTGATATTGTAGGAATTTACCTGATAAATTGACCGATTGCACGTATTACACTTGAATTGACTTTTCTTGAATGACCTGCACCCCTTCATTGTGCCACATTATCAGGCTCTTTTAATTTTTTTAGGTTGTAATATATTATAGAGAGGCTGATGTTCGTATGCCGCTGAATTTTTCTTGCGAAGCAAATTCCTTTACTCCATAAAAGACAAATAGCTTCGTGCTGCTGGTTTTTTGTTGAAGAGGTTACTTCACGCCATTATTTCTCGCAGAATACATTATATACAAGAGAGAGTGGAATGAGCAGGTTATTGTGAGATAAATAAAGTATAATTACACATGTCAAAAATTCGCTTACCTTTTATAGTTACGAAATTACGTTTGATAATCATTACTCTAAAAAATTCCAAATAATTTTGAGTACCACTATATGTCTATTCAAATAAATAATTATTGCAAAAATAAAATATTGTTTTTAGTATAATTTTTTAAATTCATAAAATATTTAGAATTTTTATAAATATAAAGTTATTTTTATCTGAATTGTTAGTATTTGTATTAATAATTTTTTTTCACTTTATAAAATATAAAAACAATAATTTATTATAACAACTACTTTGTTAATATTTAATATAAAGAATCATAAATATATAAATTTTCTCACTTTTTTTATATATAATTAAAGGGGATCAAAATTACAAGTAATTAAAGTAAATAAAATTTTGTTTATTTATTTAAGCTTAATGTTTTTATAATTAAATTCTAATATAAGATTTTGTAGTTAAAGACAAATATATATATTTTTTTTTAAAGTAGGTAAACATCATTTCTTTATTTTATTTGTATATAACAAGGTATAGATCGTGAAAGAAACAACATCTCTTATATGTTAATACAATGAGTTAAATGCTAGCTTGCCTACAGTAACCATACAACTAATATTGAAAAGAAAGTTTAAAACAATATATCTTGCCATGTGGCACCAAGCAGCTATGAATACCTACTCAGTATTAGGGGGATGGTGTTTGGAAGAGATGAGATTAATTTTTGAATACATTTGTTATAGTTATAATTACATTGAATAAAAGAGTTAGTGACAATTGTCAGTAGATCTATGATGGTTTCATTTTGGATATTCTTGGAGTGTGAGTTTTCACTAAAAGCAGTGTGGCTTCTTTTTGATTTGGTTGAGTTGGTGGTGTTTCGTATTTTGTTTGGTTTCCATTTGATATCTGTAATTGGCGAGGTGTTGGCAGTATTACATCGTGGTTTCCAAATTAAATTATATAGTTGGGTTAGGGATTCGGTTGATGCCTTGACCCAGTTGGTGGTATATGTTATAGAGAATATTCTATCAGTAATGCCACATGACAGTTCCACGACTTGCCATATGTGAGAGATTGGTCCGGAATTTTTGTCTGGATGAAGAATTTGGTTGATGTTATTTATGATTTGACTGACCTTTTCTAAGGCTTCGGGACATTTAAAGACGTGCTGGATGTCTTCAGTGCGAAGCTCACATCTTGGGAAACACCTATTTGGGTATTGATCAGGATGATGTTGGTGAAGTGTTTGACAGGTTGGGAGTGTTCCTAAGAGGAGTTTGATTCTGAACGCTATTAGGTTGCTATAGCTGTTGTTGTGTATCCTTTTGATATTTTTATTGGATTGATTAATAATTTTTAAACCGTGTGGGATATGATTCCATTCAAAAGTTTGAAGAACTGAGGTGCTTTCACAAATCATGTAATTTCTAGTAATACTGAAGATTTTTTTGCACCATCTGACACTGCTGCC